AATTTCAAAGCCAAACCTGTCACTCTATGGGTCGGTCTTCACTGAAAACGCTGTAGCTGCACTTATGGGAAGATCTTTTCCCATTGGTGTAGCTGATCCACCTCCCTGAGAAGCAGTAGCTACGTCTTTGGGAGACGTTCTCCTGGTGACATAGCACTGTCTACACACTGGGGTTAGGGTGGTCTAACTACATTGCTGAGGGGTGTGGATTTTTCACGCTCCTGGGCAACACAGTTATACTGTTATAGGTCTGTAGCATAGACCTGGCCTAACTGCAGGAGTCTGAGATCCATGTGCAGTGACAGGTACCATTTGTGCTACTATGTCTAGGTCTGATCCAGCTGATGGAAATTTGCACTGGCAAAACTACAGTGGTGTAATTTCACCGGTGCAAACCCCTAATGTTACTAGGGTAAATTGCACCATGCAATGTGTTTACATTGCTGCTGTTACACTGGGGCAAATTTTCCTAGTCTAGAGATGCTCTGAGGAAAAAGAGAGGGGTAAGACTGGGTGAAGGGGCCAGTATAGCTGATCATGAGAGGTGCTGAGCAAAACCTGAAAGTTTTGTCTTCAGGTTTTTTTGTTTTTTGGTCAAGTTTCTCAAATGAACAGTGAATATTTAGACTTAGGTAACTTTTTGTAACTGGGGAAACAAAAATGTGTTTCCTCATGTTAAACTATTCAGTATATGCATTTATCTGATCATGAACCATTTTGTTTTCTGTTAAAATTATTCTCTTTTAAGGTTCCCTTCAATGGCCCTTCTTACAGCTGGACTGACATTGTTTATGCTCCTTTTTTTTACCCACTGGCTTCATTAGGGTTTGGAGTGCCATTCGCTGAAGCCTAACTGTGTGAGAAAAATTACTTCTTAAACTCTGCCAGGTAGCTATGCTATTTTCTTTCTAGCTTTCCCGCTTCCTTTTCTGTTTACTTACGCATGCCTTCTGTGGCTCTATAATGGTTTGCTTAAGTAGCTTGCATGCCTATCTACAGATTTCAAGTTCCTTGTTTGAATTAGGGCCTCGTTTGGCCAGCACTCATTTTGTACTGAAATTCCCCATTTGTTGTCACATGGGACGAGGTAGACTCTAATTATATTTTGGTGACTATTACTTAGTGACTCAGTTATAATTATTACTTGAGCTAACTCATACATTTTTTTAGGACTGAGTCTAGAATAGCTTCTCCTTTTGTGAGCTCTGAAACTAGCTTCCCTCCGCAGAAATAATTTTTAAGGTGTCAAGAAATTCCTTCTCTAACTTTTATCCTGAGGTGATATTTGACCAATCAGTGTGTGGGTCTTTAAGGACACCCATTATTACTGTTCTTCCTGAGACAAACACAATTTTGGAAAAATGTATTTTAAACCGGGAGTTTTAAGCCCTTGTCTTTGATGACTTGTCCAGTTTATCTCAAACTTAAATAATAATTTGTGTGATGTTTGTAGTCTGTTCTGGAAAAGTTGATGGGGGAGATGACAAAACTGGGTTGATAACAGCAAACTAAACACAGCTTTAGCTAGGGAGAGATTGTCACCATTCCAAAGACAAAGTTTTATGGCCTTGTCTACACTAGCATTTTTTTTCCCTTAAAATTTCCCTCTTTTGCTACCACCAGTTCAGCTCCAACACTGGTAACAGCAGTGGGAACCATAGTGGTACAAGGTGTCTCGTGGCCACTGTTGTTTCAAACCCGGTATTGTGCAGACCTGTTCTGAACAGAGTTGGATGACGTGGGCCATGATGATCCAAAACCGCATACAGTTAATGACAGATTTTCCATAGTCTTCAGTGGACCTTAGATAAGGTGCATGGTATTTAAATGGCAGGTGCCAAATGGAGCCTTCTCTATGCTAATCATTGCTATTTTGGTGAAGCTGGAACAGTAAGGGTTGTCTACACTGGCACGCTAAATCGGCGCTGCTGTGATCGAAGCAGTGGCATCGATTTAGTGGGTCTGGTGAAGATGCAATAAGTTGATGGCAGAGCGCTCTCCCATTGATTTCAATACTCCACCTCCCTGAGAGGCAAAAGCTAAGTTGGTGGGAAAGCATCTCCCAGCAAAATAGCATAGTGTAGACACCGCCTTAGGTTGATGTTGCTCAGGGAGTGATTTTTTTTCCTCACACCCCCACAAGCAACATAATTTACATCGACTTAGGCCTGGTCTACATTGCCGCTTAAGAAATATTAAAAGTAACCACACTATCAAAGGAATTTAATCTCTTGGAGGTCCAGGGTTGCAGAGAATATGGCTGCCAGTGTATGTTACCCAATTACTGTAAGAACTTAAAGGAGAGAGCTGGCCATATCCACTGCTTGCATAAGTGTGTGAGATTTCCCTGAAATCAGGGGAGTTGGACACGCGTATGCCAGACTAATTTGGCCCAACATTTCTACTATGAAACAACATTCTTCACTGTAATGCTGATAATACTTTATCTGTGGTCACAAATCTGTGCACTAGAGGATTGTTCCCCCTTGTTTAATAAAAAAAAAGTTTCATATTCAAGTAAAACTTGTTACATGGAAAAAATGGTCTGCCTCACATGCATTTGTGTGGTACAGGTAGCCTGCATTGGTGAGAGAATTTTTTCATTCCTTTCACTTTGTGGAATTTTGTGCAAAGTAAAGGATACCGGTGAGTCCCAGGTATAGTACATTGAGGAAGATTTTTGAAATTCCCCAGCCCAGATCCTATTCTGTTAAACTACTGTCAAATAACTGAGTCCCTGCAGTCAAGTAACTGAGAGAAAAATCGACCCCAGAGGTGCGATGCTGGCAATAGTAATATAAAAATCGTATTATCTAGTCCACTAGTATTACCATTTATATGTAGTACTTATTGTTTTTTAGGCTACAGTAGCAGGGAAAGTGATGTTCTGTACTTAAAACCTGTGATCTCATAGGTCATAAACCTTATTCAATTACACAAGCAATACTTACAAGTACTTTAAACACAGTTTATTAGTTATTAGGTATCTCAAGAGATTACTCCTATTGCATTCTGTAGACTGTGATTTACAATAGTGTAGTCATCTGAAACTACTGGATTTGTTAAGCTCCTCAGATAATAGAAAACCAAGTCAAGCAATACATGGAGATGCCAAGTAGACTTAAACAACATGCTTTTTCTTACAAGAAAATGTATTACATTCCACCCGCCTTTCAGCAGGCAAAGAAAAGTGGTTTGTAATCAGAACACATGGGCTAAAATGAAAAAAATAAGCAGGCATTTTTATGAGTTCTTCTAGTATTTATGGGATCATCATCTTTTCTGTGTGATTGAAGTGTTCTGCAGTAACACAGATATTACTTGGCTGGCTCTCTTTAAAAAGGGCTTTACATGTGACCTTTTCAGAATCTGATGATCAAATCTGTGAACTTTTCTCCTTCCCACCGTATGTCAGAAAGGAAAATTATATGCTCGTCTGTAACCCACAAAAAAATGAGTTACAGATTCTAAGAAGCCTTGAAACCAGTTAATAAATTCTCAAGTGATAAAGTGTCTTCACTTTACTAATTCATTTCATGTGAGGTTTGAGCATTTATCTTCACAGAATAATTTATGAAACTTCTTGTGGCCTACTCGTTCATTGTTCCTTTAACAGCGAAGGAATGCAAATATTCCCCTTTGCAGACCTGGAGAAAAAGACAGCTCCCCACCAGGTTCCCCTGCTTCTTGTAGATTCTGTGAATACCCTCATGTGGGAGCTCCATGAGGATGCAGATTCCTGGATGGGAGACTGAGAAACAGTTGGGCTCTGAGGGTGACTGCTTTCCATGGTACCCTTCAACAGGGCCCTAAGGTGTACAAACAACACAAGTTATTACAATCAAAGATTATAATAAACTGTGCAGGTGGAATCACATCCCAAAGGTGTTTCTAAGACAACAGTGCGTGGACACTTGGCAAAATGGAGGCATACGGACTAGGCCATTAGTGGATGATCTGAGATCTTTGAGTTTAAGTACAGAAGTCCTGGTCCCCTTTGGGGTGTTGAATTAAGGGAAACACCCTCCCCCCTCAAAGAAGAAAGCTTTGAAAGCTGAAACCAAATTCCCACTCACAGGGCCCAGTCCTGCAAGCTGTTAGACACCCTAAATTCAATGGGACTTGAGGTGCTGAGCACCTCAGTGGATCAGGTCCTTATAGAGGAATAATTATGTAGGGGGAAACAGAGTACTATAAACGGCAGATACATCGTTCATGAATAGAATAGAGCTTATTAACAGAAACACATTTGAGACTAAAATAAATTGTGGTCTGTATCAATGGGTGACAACTTATAGACAGTGATGTCTTTACATTTAATAGTTAACCCCTTCCAAGATCATGAGCAGACAATGCAGCACATGGGGATGCATTAATAGTCAAAATACATGCTCTGAATAAGGTGCTCCCCCACAAAAAAATTTGTCATTTCAAAATATCTTCCTTTCTATGTTCTCATTACCGTTTAAGGTTATATGTTCTTTTCAGTCTTTACCTCTCCTTAAGTTGCCCCAAAACATATATTTTAAAAACCACTTCTCAATAGCATGAATTAGCTCTTGGTTTGTTCAACTTGTACATAATTACAAAGATAATCCTGCTCTCACTGAAACCAATGACAACAGTAGTAGGTCCATACAGTATACACACAAAAAGATTGAGTGAATGACAATCAGATGTTGGAAAAGAGCTATAGTTCAATTTTCTACCAATTCAAGTATATTTTGATTATTCCACATAGCAAACTGACTTTGTTCAGTTTAATATTATGTCCCAAGTAAATTGCTTCTTTCACTTCCTAGCATGACTACTCCACAGCTTAATGAGTGTACGTGAGCCACTTGGGATGAGAAAAAAGGGAAACAATAGCTAACAAGGAAGAGGGGAGAAGAAAAAGGGACCCGAACAGTCACTCAGAGAAATATTGTTTTTTTAAAAATGCAGTCCTCTGAACCTTATATGCCTCTAATAATTATGATCTTATTCAGTATGACACAAACTCAGGTTTTCAAATGTGATATTTAATGTATATACATAAATATATATGCTGTACAGTAGAAACTTTGTAACAAATTTGGTTACACATTGACATTGTATGATCCCCCACAGTTATGCCCCAACAGCCCTCCTGCTAGGGACTTTAAAAGGTTCTGGGAAGCTCAGTAGCTCCTACCAACAGAATTTGGTCCAATAAAATATATTACCTCACCCAGTTTGTCTCTCTCATAGCCTGAGACCAACATGGCAACAACAACAAAGGGGGGGGAGGAAGTGGACTCTAAAAGCGTTCCTATGTGGATTTGTACCAAAAGAATTTTAAATGTGTTTGTGGGAGCCAATAACCTGTGCTGAAATCCAACTTTCTGAGCAGCTGTCTGCCTAGTCAAAGCAATACTTATCTTACAGTAGTACTACAAGATTTCTTTTCATATCAAAGTTAAGCCTATCTTAAACATATCTTCAGTACATAAAGTAAGGAGAAAACATCCCTTTAAAAACATATACGCAAAGGGAATGTGGCCTTGATGTTTTCTGGCATCAAGCGAGATATACTGTCTTATTATTTTCTGTTCTGGGATATAGTCATGGCATTATCCAAGGATTTGAGGGACCTGTTGTAAGCACGTCAAAAAGATTTTTTTAATTGACTTAGTTTTGTAAGTATTGGATCATAAAAAAAATGGGCATTAAATCCCAGCTACATCCTATACATTTGAAATTTCCCATTAATTAACCTTCCTGTTTAGGGCTTGGAAGTAAGCTAATGTTGACAGTACTCTGTGTATACATCCCTGCAGTAGAGAAAAATCTATAATAATAATAATTAGCACTTCCACAGGCCTGTGTGAAAAACACAGTACAGACATTCATTAATGGGAGATTAGACTCCTAAGTACCATTAGACCCATCTCACAAATAAGGAAACAGTCAGAAATGAAGCGATTTGCTCAAGGTAACATAGTGAGTCAGTGGCAGAGCTCTGATTAGAACAGACCTGCTACCACGATCCCAGGCTCATTCCACAAGACCACAATGATTCCATTCCTCCCTAACCTGGTCATTAAAATTCAATAAAAGACTATGGGACTAAGAACCAGTGGTGCAGTGAGAAGGAGGAGACAGAGCTGAGAAGACTGGGTGCAGGGGGAAACTGGGACTAGCTGGGCAAAGAAATTGGGAGAAGGAGCCAGAAGCAGGGGAGACACAGACTAGCCAAGTAGCTTGGAGAGGGAGACTGGGACTGGGAGCATGCGTTGGACGGGATGTGTGTGTGTGCATGAGACACTGGAAGCCAGGGCTGGGGAAAGAATGACTGGCTGAGGAGCCAGGAGAGAGGGAACTGGGATTCACTGGGCATGTAGATAAGACAAGGAGCTCAGAGTGAGGTGGGGGACTGGGAATAACTGAGCAAAGAGACTTGAGGGGAAGAGAGAGAGAGAGAGAGAGAGGACTGGGACTGGATGCCAGAAAGGGTGAGACAAGGACTTGTGGAGCAATGAGGCTGGGCCAGGGAGCCACAGAAGAGAAGATAGGACAGAGACAGGTTGGAGGGGATAAGGCAGAGGGGATCATGCTTCAGGAGGAGGAACAGGAAAAACAGGCTGTGCCCACTAGATCACATTCCCCTCTAAAACCTTGACTGGAAGCCAAGATTCCCAACTCTCATCATTCCTCTCCTGTGAACAAATATCTGTGAAACCAGTTGGCCAAGCATCCAATACCCTGCTAGTGCTGGTCCACAGAGCAGATGCCAAACTACTATTGCTATCAGTTACTCCACTAGTTCATGCAACAGAGGTCAGTGTGGTGAATCTGAAGATTCCAACCCTGTTGATGAACCATGGGGGCGTTTCTATGATGCTAATGATGGAATTTCTGTTTCAGTTTGCTTTTTAAAAAACCTAGGAAATTTCATACAAAAAACTACATTAAAAAGAACATTATTAGGGTTGCATAGTCAGGTACTCAAAAGTTAAGGAAATGCCAGCATTTGTACAACCTTAATTCCCCCTCTTTTCCTTATTCATTATGATTGAGTCTTGTATCATAGTTTGTGTGTATAATTTTAATTACACTGACAGTTCTCTTGATTATCTGAAAGCTAAAATATCCCAAGTTATTCAGTATCTGTTTCCCCACCCAGCGCCCTGCCCATAATAGGATAATTAAGTTTGTAATATAAATATTAGCGTATTAGCACTTGTATAGCCATCTTCATTTTCAGTATGCTTAATGGACATTAACTAACTAATCCTCACAACAGTATTCAGAGAAGTATATTACAGAGGGGGCAAACTGAAGCAAAGAGGTTGTGACTTCTCCATATGCAAGGCAGGTTTAGAATTCAGGAGTTCTTTGTCACTACTCCCGGGCTCAGATCACTCTCAGATAAATATCAGTGCACTTAACAGTAGCAAGGGTGAAATCCTGGCCCCACTGAAGTAAATGGCAAAACTCAGACTGATTTCAGTAGGGCCAGGACTGCACGCTAAACATTCAGGATCTTTTGTTGACTACAACAGGTTTCTTAAGAGTCAGCACGCTAACAAATATGCAGATGTATCAAAATTAAAACGAAATATTCTTTCGAATATACCTTTCAATACCAGCCGCTTTCAGACATAAATATGAATATTAATTTATAAGAAACTCCCCCCGCCCGCCCAAACCAGAGTTTTATGTAAAACGCTTAATGTTATCCCAATCTGTGGCTGGCTGCTCAAAGGCATTTTGCAAGTCTTAGGGGACTATACTCGTTGCTTTTCTTAATGCCAGGTAACCTGTAACAACGTCTGAAGGAAGCATCCGAATGTAAGCAAATTCTTCAGTGCTACTGAATCTCAGCTTGCTCTGTGGATCTGTATAATTTGCCTGGAAAAGAAACAATGGCAGAGATACCATTCAGAGAGAAATCTCAGTAAAAATGTCAAAACAAAACATTTCTTGAGTCCATAATGTGTGTAACAACCGAGAAATTTATAACACGTTACCACGTGACAAAAAGTCGTTTCCTCTTTCTTCCCTCACATGTCAAAACTTTTACGAGAACTAAACAGTTCCCTGAAAAAGCTTTTACATCAAAAATGCATTAAACATAAGAGGGCTAAAATAGCTTCACATACAAATCTACACAACAGAAAAAAAACTAACACAGCTCTCTAACATCACTCTAGCAACTGTGTGTCTGGTACAGTCCTTTACAAGTAGTTCTCCAAAGAATGAGGTTGTTGCCAATAAATTACCAACAAAGAGGCTGAATTATGGGTGGTCTGATAGCTTTGACTTGATTTCTCTGCTTGTGTCGGATTGTTTGTAGCTTTAGTTTTCTTTTCAATGGCAACGATTTTTTTTAAAGAAAAAGCTTTTGGTTCTGTGGCTGAACTGATAAGAAACTTGACCTCAGTGGTTTGCATTACTGCAGATTTCTGCTTTCAGTGACACAACTAACATTGGTCTTGTATCCTCCACTTCTGTTACGTTTGGATTAGGGCTTCCTAGGTGAGGTTCCAGCTCCACCCCATCATCCTTCCCTCCCTGTTGCCACAGAAAGCTTGAGCATATGTTAGCTATCAGGCTCAGCACATTGGGTAGAACCAGGAGAAAAGTTAATCTCCATTGTATTATTCTCTCCACCCTAGACCCAAATGAAATAACTATTGACCCTGGTCGTATCATCTTATGTCGTACCTGCCAGTGATATGAGACCTTCCTTCCTTGCTCTCCCTGACAAGAGATCTGGGATGGTGGAAGGCTGAGGCATTGGAAGCTTGCTTTCTTTAAGAAGCATACTACCAAAGGGGACAGGAAGCACTGCAGAAGAGCACAGGCTCTGCAGGTCTCCCCAGATTCAGGATGTAGTGTTGAATCCCCTGCCAGTTCCATGGCAGGAAGGAAATGTTCTCCATGGCGAAAAATGTGGGGGGAACTCTAAAGTGAAAACTCAGTACGTGGCTACTGGGTAGTCAACTGCCAGGGCTGGTAAGCGTTATGTAGCAGAGTATATTGAGGACTATTGCCATATAGCATTTTATTTTTTTTTACAACGCCACAAAACATTAATTAACATGAAAAATATTTTAGTTTTCAGAAAATAGCAAATGTGGGACTTAATGAAGGGCCAATATCATCCCTGATGTAGTCAACAGAGTTAACCTGGGTATATATTTGTACACCAAAGTTCTATGAGTTTGGCTCAAGGTGTGTAAGAAAACAGGTTGATTTTTAATGGACAATAGCAATAAGTTTTTCAGCTAAATTGTATCTACTTATTTATTGCATGTCATTAAATGTTTGTTAAAAAACTGTGACCCTGAGAGGATCCTCTACCAGTCTTACACTTCATACTGGAGGTCAAGACATTACTATATACTAGATGTAATTACCATCTAGTGATTTTCAGATAAATTCTGTTGGAAGCAATATGATGATTAAAACTTTTTCAAATATTTCTGCAATAATTAAACCAGATAAAAAGCAGAGCAATGCAATTTTGCAAGGAAAAATCCCTCCACATTTTGTAAACTAAGTCAAAGGCCACAGATACTTTATCATGTTTTGAAGTATGTAATTATCTTAGTCTGTTTTTACAACACCAAAGCTGATAAATTTCAGAAAAGGCAGAAGTTCAAGCATTTGAGTAATTTCTTCTGTTAGATTAAATTACTTTGTTCTGTATGTTAATCTAACCAAAGGCCTACCTTCTAAATTTCAACAGAAGAGCGTAAGTGTCTAAAAATGCAAATGCAATCCATAAATACAATTATTTTTGAACTTTTAGCATATGCCACATTAAAACTATAAACTGGGTGTCTTATTAGACCATTAAGGGATATAATTCCATCTGTGTTACCACACAGAAAGAGACAAGAATCAACAGAATTCAGTTGTGGTATTTAACATAACTGCTGATGTACTGATGGGAGAGTTTTAATGCACTCCTCATTTTATATAAGACAGACCATTTAATACTTCCTTGCATGAGTAATGCTAAAGAATTTATTGTACATAGCATTTCTTGGGGAATCCTGCACTCCTCACAGGAAATGTTCTCATACAAATGCTATCAGATTTCTCACAGATAATGTGGGGACATTTTTTGGACTAGACTTCTAAAATATTCCCTTACGTACTGTATCTTCCCATTAGGAAGTGATTTTAAGAATAAATGTTGTGCTTCTTATGCACCAATTCTGACTCAGCAATTTAAAGGACACATAGTCTCCTATCTTAATAAGAAAGACTGTTAAACAGGATATTTTTATCAGTCAAGAGAAACTTTCCAGCCATAAGCAAAACAGGAAATTTGTCCCAAGATGTATTCAGAAGATGAAAAATTGAAAGAGCCAAAAGAGAAAAGAAAAAAAGCAGCTCTGAATGCAGCCGTCAGAGAGAGATTATCTGGATCATACTAGAGTAGTTACATTTACATAGCTCATCGACAGTGGGGGATGGGCAAAAAAGAAGAGACTGCTGAAGTCAGTAGGAAACCTACAGGCTTCCCAAGGGTAAATTTGGTCTCCTCTGGCTAATTAAAGAGCCAAACTCTGACACATCTTTACGTAGCAGTGGGAAATAGTAGCCTCTCTAATCCATGTGCTCACTTACTGACCAATTCTGAAGAGGCTCTAGGCCAGTGAGGAAGGGAATTATAGAGCTGCTTTGGGAGGTGGAAGTGGAAAAGGCTTATGCAATTAAGCTCCTTCAGCAGCCCTTCCCTGTGCTAGATCAGAAATGTTACTGCAACCCAAGTAAACACAGTTAGGGCTGCTGTTTACACCTGCAAAGCAACAGTAAGGCGAGGGGATGGGGAAAAGATAGAGGGGGATGAAGACACTAATTGCATCCTCTGTTTTTTTCTGCTCAGAATCTGTTTGTATTATTGTTACCTCACCTCCCAAACCACCCCCCATTTGTCTATTTCATCCACCTGTTGCGCCCTGTCTTTCCTATAGAATGACAGACTTCTGGATTACTTGATTATGTGGCACTTAGTACAACTGAACCCCGATCCTTCCTTGGGGATCCTGGGTGCTAACATAATATAGATAATATTCTAGTTAAAAAACACAAACTGGCTGGAGGGGAGTGGTTTTATTGGGTGGGCGAGCTATGTCCCAAATGACCGGGGAGAAAGGCATGTGTTTGAATCAGTGGTCTGATTGACCCTCTAGATTTAGGAGTTGCCAGCTGAGATCCAAGTGGCAGGTTTCACTCAGAGAAGAAGGATCCCATGGGAGACATATTGTCTCCTCTGATGTCATCCACTAACTGCCTTTATATATTAAATCAAAAAAACGATGTTAAAAGAAAATTAAGGTTGCAAAGTAAAGCTCTCAAAAGTTAGGAAATGCCTGAATTAACGTTGTTTGTACAAGCTTAATTCCAACTCCCTTGCGTGGATGCATTATGATACCAATCTTTAAATACATGATCACATTCTATTTTTATCTCAGCATTCCTGCAGCATTCAGTGCCCAGAATAGATGGTGCTCACTTAATGAGCAACTATCCAATGCTTTGTTTTCTCCTCATTGTTCAATGTGTGGCCCTCCAACTTGTTTACTACACACTACTCTAACCCTGTTCTGAACACAGAATTATTAATTTCCCCATGCAGTCTTCTATGACACTCATCACTACAGTATCTGAGTGATTCAGAAACAATGAATTTATGTTCACAACATCCATAGATAGGTAGAGAAGTATTACTATCCTAGCATTAGGGATGGGAAACTGAGGCACAGAGCGATTAAGGTAAAAAATGGCCATCAATTTTGGGTTTCCAGTTTGAGATAGCCAGGACCTGATTTTTTTCAGCGTATTTAGCATTATATGGCACTTTCCATGTTCAAAGCAAAACTTCTATTGACTTCAGTTGCAGTTTTTCTGCACTCAGCTCAGCACTTCCGCAAATCAGACCCAATGTTTAAAGTTGGGCACCCAAAAACTGACGAACCACACAGTTAATTTAAAAATATAGTTTAAGTGACTTGACTAATATCACATAGGAAATCTACAGCAGAGACAAAAGTAAAATCCAGTTCTCCAGGACAGCATTCAACTGCATTAACTATGCTCACTGCAGACAGAGAATTTAGCTGCCAAATTCTAACAAGTCTCTACTGAACATATGTGAACTGACATTTTTGAAAGTCTTATAATTTGGCCAAATGTGGGTGTTTTTTTCATAACAGAAGCAAAAGGTATATCCCTGACACAAAGGCTACCCCACTGCCAAATGGCAAGTTCCGACTCCAAATCATAGGGGCATTAGAGCTTCTCAATGTAACAGTTGTAAGAATATTTTTGAACATGAGCCAAACAACATATTTTTCCCTAATCTTATTCTCTGCAACTGTTGAATCATTTTTCCAAATAAGACTAAGAATAATGAGCTGGAGACCGACAGTGGACATAGAAAGTTTTAGTCTGAACGGTGAAGTTTGGAAAAATTGTATGCAACTGAAGACAGGGTCCTTTCCTGTAATGGGAAATGTGAGCTACCAGCTCCACCTATAATGTGTGTGGGTGAGGGAACCAGACTCTACCACTGGGAAGAGGCAGGGTAGAGGGACTTGTGCAGCTATCTCAAGAGGCAAGGCCCTTAATCTGCTTTGGATCTTTAGCCATGGAGTCCACCTAGGTCTTAGGACAGTGATTCTCAAATTTTTTTACTGGTGACCCTTTTCCACACAGCAAGCCTCTCAGTGTGACTCTTCCTCCCCCACCCCCCATCAATTAAAATGCTTTTTTTAATATTTAACACCATTATAAATGCTGGAGGCAAAGCGGGGTTTGGGGTGGAGGCTGACAGCTTGTGACCCCCCATGTAAGAACCTTGTGATCCCCTGAGGGGTCCCAACCCCCAGTTTGAGAACCTCTGTCTTAGGAGCTATGTGATACAGAGGCAGTTTAGCTCAGGGTTTGGCTCTAAATCATGTTTAAGTACATTGCTGAAGTGGGACCTACCTGTATACATTGCAGGAAGCGAAATCAGATATTATAGGGATAACAGAAACATGGTGGAATAGTAGTCATGACTGGGCTACAGGTATTGAAGGGTATGTGCTGTTTAGAAAAGACAGAAATAAAGGTAAAGGTGGTGGAGCAGCATTGTATATCAATGATGAGGTAGAACGTAAAGAAATAAGAAGCGATGGAATGGATAAGACAGAGTCCGTCTGGGCAAAAATCACATTGGGGAAGAAAACTACTAGAGCCTCCCCTGGGATAGTGCTTGGGGTGTGCTATAGACCGCCGGGATCTAATTTGGATACGGATAGAGCCCTCTTTAATGTTTTTAATGAAGTAAATACTAATGGAAACTGCATGATCATGGGAGACTTTAACTTTCCGGATATAGACTGGAGGACGAGTGCTAGTAATAATAATAGGGCTCAGATTTTCCTAGATGCGATAACTGATGGATTCCTTCATCAAGTAGTTGCTGAACCGACTAGAGGGGATGCCTTTTAGATTTGGTTTTGGTGAGCAGTGAGGACCTCACAGAAGAAATGGCTGTAGGGGACAATCTTGGTTCAAGTGATCATGAGCTAATTCAGTTCAAAGTGAATGGAAGGACAAACAAAAATAAATCTGCAACTAGGGTTTTTTATTTCAAAAGAGCTGACTTTCAAAAATTAAGGAAATTAGTTAGGAAAGTGGAGTGGACTGAAGAACGTATGGATCTAAAGGCAGAGGAGGCCTTGGATTACTTTAAGTCAAAGCTGCAGAAACTATTGGAAGCCTGCATCCCAAGAAAGGGGAAAAAATTCATAGGCAGGAGTTATAGACCAAGCTGGATGAGCAAGCATCTCGGAGAGGTGATTAAGAAAAAGCAGAAAGCATACAGGGAGTGGAAGATAGGAGGGATCAGCAAGGAAAGCTACCCTATTGAGGTCAAAACATGTAGGGATAAAGTGAGATAGGCTAAAAGTCAAGTAGAGTTGGACCTTCCAAAGGGAATTAAAAGCAATAGTAAAAGGTTCTATAGTCATATAAATAAGAACAAAACAAAGAAAGAAGAAGTGGGACCACTAAACACTGAGGATGGAGTGGAGGTCAAGGATAATCTAGGCATGGCCCAATATCTAAACAAATACTTTGCTTCAGTCTTTAATAAGGCTAATGAGGATCCTAGGGATAATGGTAGTATGACAAATGGGAATGAGAATGTGGAGGCAGATATTACCGTATCTGAGGTAGAAGCGAAACTCGAACAGCTTAATGGGACTAAATCGGGGGGCCCAGATAATCTTCATCCAAGATTATTAAAGGAATTGGCACATGAAATTGCAAGCCTATTAGCAAGAATTTTTAATGAATCTGTAAACTCAGGGGTTGTACCGTATGATTGGAGAATTGCTAACACAGTTCCTATTTTTAAGAAAGGAAAAAAAAGTGATCTGGATAACTACAGGCCTGTTAGTTTGACATCTGTAGCATGTGAGGTCTTGGAAAAAATTTTGAAGGAGAAAGTAGTTAAGGACATTGAAGTCAATGGTAAATGGGACAAAATACAACATGGTTTTACAAAAGGTAGATCATGCCAAACCAACCTGATCTCCTTCTTTGAGAAAGTAATAGATTTTTTAGACAAAGGAAATGCAGTGGATCTAATTTACCTAGATTTCAGTAAGGCATTTGATACCGTGCCACATGGGGAATTATTAGTTAAAGTGGAAAAGATGGGAATCAATACGAAAATTGAAAGGTGGATAAGGAATTGGTTAACAGGGAGACTACAGCGGGTCATACTGAAAGGTGAACTGTCAGGCTGGAGGGAGGTAACCAGTGGAGTTCCTCAGGGATCGGTTTTGGGACCAATCTTATTTAATCTGTTTATTACTGACCTCAGCAGAAAAAGTGGGAGTGTGCTAATAAAGTTTGCGGATGATACAAAGCTGGGAGGTATTGCCAATTTAGAGAGAGTCCAGGATATCATACAGGAAGATTTGGATGACCTTGTAAACTGGTTTCAGAGTAACAGCCGTGTTAGTCTGTATTCGCAAAAAGAAAAGGAGTACTTGTGGCACCTTAGAGACTAACCAATTTATTTGAGCATGAGCTTTCGTGAGCTACAGTAATAGGATGAAATTTAATAGAGGGAAGTGTAAGGTTATGCATTTAAGGATGAATAACAAGAATTTTAGTTATAAGCTGGGGATGCAGCAATTAGAAGTAACAGAGGAGGAGAAGGACCTCGGAGTATTGGTTGATCACAGGATGACTATGAGCCGCCAATGTGATATGGCAGTGAAAAAAAGCTAATGCGGTCTTGGGCTGCATTAGGCGAGGTATTTCCAGTAGGGATAAGGAGGTTTTAGTACCGTTATACAAGGCATTGGTGAGACCTCACCAGGAATACTGTGTGCAGTTCTGGTCTCCCATGTTTAAGAAGGATGAATTCAAACTGGAACAGGTACAGAGGAGGGCTACTAGAATGATCCGAGGAATGGAAAACCTGTCTTATGAAAGGAGACTCAAGGAGCTTGGCTTGTTTAGCCTAACCAAAAGAAGGTTGAGGGGAGATATGATTGCTCTCTATAAATATATCAGAGGGATAAATACCGGAGAGGGAGAGGAATTATTTAAGCTCAGTACCAATGTGGACACAAGAACAAATGGTTGTAAACTGGTCATTGGGAAGTTTAGACTTGAAATTAGATGAAGGTTTCTAACCATCAGAGGAGTGAAGTTTTGGAATAGCCTTCCAAGGGAAGCAGTGGGGGCAAAAGACCTATCTGGCTTTAAGATTAAACTCAATAAGTTTATGGAGATGGTATGATGGGATAACATGATTTTGGTAATTAATTGATCTTTAAATATTCATGGTAAATAGGCCCAATGGCCTGTGATAGGATCTTAGATGGGGTGGGATCTGAGTTACTACATAGAATTCTTTCCTGGGTATCTGGCTGGTGAATCTTGCCCATATGCTCAGGGTTTAGCTGATCAACATATTTGGGGTCAGGAAGGAATTTTCCTCCAGGGCAGACTGGAAGAGGTCCTGGAGGTTTTTCGCCTTCCTCTGTAGCATGGGGCACGGGCCACTTGCTGGATGATTCTCTGCTCCTTGAAGTCTTTAAACCACGATTTGAGGACATCAATAGCTCAGACGAAGGTGAGAGGTTTTTCGCAGGAGTGGGTGGGTGAGATTCTATGGCTTGCATTGTGCAGAAGGTCGGACTAGATGATCATAATGGTCCCTTCTGACCTTAATATCTATGAATCTTTATTTTGTGTTGTGAGAAATGCTATGCCAATTTAGACAAGTTTAAAAAAAAATACTTACAGGAAGTCCTGAAATATCAGAGTATTTCTTGGCTGGTTTAAAGGAAGGAGGAGCTTCGATATTAAAGTCTAAAAGTATGTCAAAGAGAGAAAGGAAGACATTAACTTCTGCATTCTATCTTTTCAGGGTCACTCTTGTGTTTTGTTTTGTTTTAAATAAAAATAACACTTGGAAAGGTAAACAACTGTTGAAAAACAATTGTTTTACTAAATGAAATGTCTATTTTCTAGCAACAGTAAGGCAAAGAGACATGAAACAGAATTAACTGAAAGCATTTAGCTTGCTTTCTTTGTACACTAAGGCCCTCATCCTGCTTGCCTTACTGACAGGGGTAAGGTGAGCAGGACTGGCCCCTAAAGGAAGAAAAATGCAAGAGAGCTATTTGAACTTCATTACAAACACAATGATTTCATGTAAGTCTTAATGACAATATTTCCTCTACAGTCAGAGATACTATATCTGCAAGAATAGTCATTATGCCTGCTGTACGTTAAGACCACCAAACATTGCTCAAGACTGAAGCTTTGAAATACTGTAATCCAGAAAAGCAAAGTAATCTTTTAAATCAGATAAATCTTTAAGCATGTGCCACTTTAAGCCTGGCCAATGACCTAGAAAATTGTCTGAATACTTAAATGAAATTATAGAAATTGCTATTTTTTTGGTGTCCCTTAGGCAGTAATAGCATTGCTCTTATATGCAAACGTTTATTCAGACACAACTCGGTATGTTTCAATAGTTACAAAAAAAAAACAAAAAAAAAAAACAAACCCTAACTTGACAAAGTATTGATATACACAAAAATATCTTGTACATGGCTAGCTTCTTTCCTCCCACGTGCATCTGATTCAGATTTTATGGATGAAGGATTCCAATTTAGCAGATCAGATCCTTTAATCGTCACGTGCACTATAAGGCAATAATTCAAAAGATATTAATGCCTGAGGCAGCTGTTTTAAAATATGCAATTACGTTTGTTTTTCTATCTTTTTTTAAAATGTGTACATTTACAAATAGAATGTAGTGGAAATAGCAACCTCAGCAGATTGTCAGTTGTAATAGCCAGGAACACACAGTCATCTGCATTTTTCTATAATAGTAGTCTCAAAAACCCTTTTGAAAATGGCAAGTTATTTTTGGATAAAACACTTGAGGGTATGCCTACACTACCAAAAAAACAACCCTGCAGGAGGGAGTCTCAGAGGCTGGATCAACTAACTTGGGCTTGCGCTTCGGGTCTAAAAATAGCAGTGAAGGCATTCCTTTTCAGGCTGGAGCCCCGGCTTTGAGACCCACCCCTCTTGTGGGGTTTCAGAGCCCAGCCTCCAATCTAAGCAGGAACATCTACACTACTACTTTCACTCCCATGGCGCAAGCCTGAGTCAGTTGACCAGGCTCTAAGACTTGTTGCCACAGGGGTTTCCTTGCAGTGTAGATATACCCTAACAGGCTGACAAATAAAATATTAAAAAATGCAAACACGCTCAATTTCTGAGGTGCTTTTTTATTTCTTATAGCCTGCCCAGATAAAAACTGAGGGGTAGATTCTGCCTTTTATTCATGTTGAGCAATTTATTACTCCATGAGTAGATTAAGGCAGACATGGGGTTACTCATAGAGTACCACTCAATATGAATAAAGGTGACAGAATCTTGACCTCACAAACTTTTCTCTCTCAAACACGCACAAACTTTCTAACACCACTCCCAATTACATGCTTCATGTTCCTCTCCATTTGGTTGTGGGGTCAGGCTGTTCTTAAATAGTATCACTGGAATCTGTTCAATCAGAATACTGCATGCATAGATAAAATTTAGGTTCATTTTAAAGAAAGTAATTTGTGTGGATTTTATTATTTATAAATACATGCAAAGCATCTAAGCAGCTTACAACTAGGATCATTGAGTTGCCATGGCAATGCCCTTTCAGAAGCAAGAATTTGTTTTAGGTTCTTCCAAGTTCTGTTCTTCTTCCCAGCTGCTGCTCCACCAATGCCAGAGTGCTAGAATTAAAACATAGTGTTTAAGAAAAAATAAAGATGACTATTTCAAAATATGACATTTTTATTTCACAGCCTTTGCGATACGCCTCATCTTGTCATGAACCATTTATCATGCTCACTTATTTAATCAATAGTCTAACACACTGTACACTTTAATTTCAGTTGCAAGAAAAACAAAGATTTTTTTAACTGTGTCAAAACTACTAGTTTTGGGATTAACTGAAGGAAATTAAAATCTGCTTTTTATAGGGAAATAGAAAATCAGTCTGGTTAGGGTTAGTCTGAGATTACAGGATTCCGCACTTGTGTGCACTTCCCATCATATTAAAACTGTTTACTATGGGGTTGTATCTAAATTGTGATTACATGTCTAAATTCTCTTTTGCATGGCATATGCAAAATTACAGGTGCAGCTGTATCTCCAGTAAGTGAAAAGTGATTGTGCAAAAATACAACTGATCTTGTAAAATGTAATCAATGCTATGAGAAGCCTTGTGGCAATCTTCTTTTTCTTTCAAATGAAAGAAGACTGTAAAATAGAAAAGGAGTAAGAGAACGTTGTGCTGGAAAGACTATTGTGCATTTTGAAAGCTATACTAACGGAAGCAAGCCTTTCTATAGTTATTATAACAGTCATTTCAGTTATCAAATGTGATTGCTACGGAGTAATTTTATTTATGTCCCTCAAGAGAAAGAAGATACACAACATACTGTCCTGCTTCTAAAAGATGAAAGGACTGAGCTTCTCAGTTTTATTTCAAAAAAGAACATTTTCTCATAGCCAGAAGTGTTATCTCTCTTAATAATTACTATCCACCACATCAGCCTTATCAAAACTCTCTCAAAGTTCTGCACACACATTTTGGCTGTATTTTATAAATTGGTGCGTAAAGTGCTTGAGAATGGGAGGAGTGGGAATGGTAAAGTAGATGAATAGGATTCTCCGTGAAAAGGTTTTTCCATAGAGGTGACTGTAAGATACTGTATTCAGGGAGGATGCTCATGAGCTAGTGATACATTAACTTCACTTTTTTTTTTGGCAATGAATATCCAAAATGGAAAGTAAATGGAACATTTAGCGATATGAGTAACACCCTGGTAACCTAGATTAGCACTGAAAGAGAGAGGCTATTGACAGCTACCACAGCCATTTCCATCCCAACACATTTGTAATTCAGATTCAGTACGTGGATTTTTCCCCTACCTCATCACGTTTCAAGTTATCTGTTTGGCCTATTGCTGGCACTTATGACGTGATCTAAAGCTAGTGGCAAGACTCAGCCAAACTGGAAATATACTAACTATTACACTGTGAAGAATCTGTTTTTGCTTTAATAAAAAGGAAGAAGAATCAGAAGCGATCACTTGTTTCACTGTATATTTTGCTTTTAAATCCACTAAAGCAAGATTTAAATATCTGGATTTAAGGCCTGATGTTGCAAGGTGCTCTGCACCTTCTGGCATCTGAACAGATCGAGGGATTGAGAATGCAACTGAGAGCATTTCCAAATGTTTAAAAATACCACCCATCCCCATTGGTATAACAATGATACTTGCTGATTATACTTTACTTAAATAGCCAGAAAATGCTATAAATTGGATTTACAAAAGCAAGATCAGCAAAATTTCTGTGCTGTATGCTTGAGAAGGCCCGATCCTGCCTGTGGATCTATGCAGATGGATCCTTACACCTGCATGGGGTGCCTTAGAAACTGACAGGGTTTTCTTTCTAGGCCTACCCTCAGAGACTCAAACGCAGGATTTGGGCCTAATGCACTTGTGTATTTCTTGTAAAAGGTAATGGACTGATAGCTTTATTGACAGGAAAGGTACAGTAGTGGCAGAGACAGTACAAGGCTCGTTGTACTGTTCTATGAATGTGCCTCCAATTTGTTCTGGAGGGATCACCTCTAGGAGTTTGAATGAGTGATACAGAAAAGTACTCTCTATCCTGGTTCTTCCTGCTGAGACTGCCAACAACTAAATTGACATGAATTTGTATCTGCTTTGACCTGGAGTGAGTCTCCTCTTACATGATAGCAATCACATGGCAACAACTCTCAAGTGCAAATTAATTTAGCTGCACGTGAGCTGGTGACTTATGGGAGAAAGGCTCTAGATCCCCTTATCAACCCCTTGTTCTATTCAGTTGCCAGAAGGTGCACAGCACCTTGCAGCATTAGTCCTTAAATCTAGATATTTTGGGATTAACAGTTAAAGGGCAACTTGTTCCTTCCTGCTTTTTATTTTTAAATTTGCAACCAAAAATTCTCTCTGGTGGAGTGAACTAACAGTTTTTCAGTTTTTGGCATACTTTTAGAAGTTAAGGTATTTGACTTTATTTTCTTCACAATGAGATTAACTTAAAATAAAATTATTTTAAAAGTCAGCAGAATTCTTAATCACAGCTCATGGGGTGGATGTGGGTTCAGAATAAGCTCCTAGAATTTCCCTCTGATTAATTTTTGTGTCAAGTGTGAGACAATACTGTGGTAGTTTTCATTACAATTTTACAACTAATTCTGCAACAGTGGTACCAGATTCTGTACATACCTCAGCTTTCATGCCTGTGGATACCAACAGTTTCAATTCAGACGTAGTGAAATTCACCTGAAACATGAAGGGCCAGCACAATGCATCTGCACTACCCAAATCCTATACTCAAGCTACGTGAAGAGGCTTTGGGCACATGAGGCTTCTGCACAAACCATGCAACCCAAAGAGGCTGGTGCTTAGAGAAGAGTTCGAGAAGCAAAGGATGTAGTGGTCTAAAATAAATGCAAAGCCTGAGACTCTGGGGCTAATTTCATATCCCTGTAAAACCCCTGCTTAGCAAACTACACCAAGTACTCAGGCTTTATTTTGTGGGATGGTTGCATCTGATTCATACAGAATTAAATTACAGGGATCAGATCTTTCTTTTTGAGCAATGGCTTAGGGCTTGCACTCTGAAAAGGTTACTGATCCAAAGAACATTTGGTAGAGTCTGACAACTGGGTCTGAGCACCCACAGGTAGCAAGATAGCAGACATTAAAACAACAGTAAAGACCAAACCACAATCACATTAGCAGCTATTATCATCTTGCTATGCCTCTACCCACAATTTAATTCTGAGGTTATTTTAGCAGCCTGTACTTCACAAATTGCTAGAGTTTCCACCACTTGAAAGCTGGAATGCCAAGATTTTAGAGAGCAGTAAGTATTTGTTTCTAGCTCTAATGATTGAGAGAATGGCCGCTAACATTATGTTGGCAATGAAATTACTGAGGGGGTGCATAATGGCAATCACTAATGACATGATTGATTTTTTTAGTCCATTATTTTGCAACCTGACTGGGCTTAGGAACGAACGCTTCATGCACTTGAACCGACTGGATTCCCAGATTTACAATGGTATAAATTGTTCATTTCTAGCCTTGGTGACTTGCGAGATACCAGACCATAAACCATTACAGGTACCTTGATCTAGCAGCAGTACTTTTTTGGCATTGGGTCAGGACTGAATATAAGAAGTCTTGCCTCTGGACTAGTGTCATTTTCATGTTCTGTAATTTAATGCACACTTTGGCCATATCTTGGCATGGATTTTGAAGCTGAATTTCTTTAAAATTGATGGTATGATATGGACCCTTGACATGGCTCCTAATCTTACTTTCTTAGTAGGAATATTAGCAATGTAGTAATATAGTATCTTAGTTACTACTTCATTTAAAGTTTGAGAATTTCTAATGGTTAAAATACTTACAATGAAGTTTGAATCCTTAAATGGCAATGGTTTGATGGCAGCTTCCATTGGCCCGGTATTGGGATCCACAGTCATAAATTTATTCTCATTCATGGTCTCTGTACCTACAGTCTGCAGAACACACACAATCTCATTGCTTATTTGTTAATCTGAATATATTTAAAAGAAAGTGAACAGTTTTCTTTGTGAACATTAACTTCTTAATCCATTTCTTGTGAAGTAAGCCTTTTTTAAACTTTGAAAATGTTACCTGCCATTAGTAGGTGTAGCATTAAAGGGGACACTGTCAAGCAAATAAGGACCAGTACTTAAAATCTGGTAGCTAAAAAAATTAAAATTGGGAGAAGGGGAGAGGGGTTACCAAAGTCTACTAAATAGAACTGCCACAGGTTTTGTTTTAACGTCACTGAAAACAACCTGAATAAACTGGAAGAGAGCACATGAGCACATAAATGGACAAAAGTACATAACATTTGTTTCAAAATGTTTGGTATTAATAAAGTATCAATGTCAACACAGGAAAGAACTTCAAAATGTACACTGGGCTTATTCCAGAGGTTCTTAATAAACTTTTCCTCTATTTCTGACTTCAGTGGGAATCATGTCTAAATAAGGACTGAGAAAAAACTAATTAAAGACCTTTGCATCAGTTCAAAAATATGAGCCTTGCAAAATTCCACATGCCCACTGGCTATGGGTTTGGTTTGGGGGGAAGGGCGGGAGGGGAAGAAAAGGGATGGGTATGTTCTTTGTTTTTTAAAGTCATGATTGTAAGGAAGAACAATTGTGTCTAGGCTAGCCACTTTTTGTGATAAGAATGATACATAGCTTTTATTTTTTCTCTTGAGAGTGCCCTGTTAAGTTTCTATTCAGTCTGTATCACAAGTGACTGAAATATAGCAAATAATAAATACACAAAAATTCCTAGGTGAAATTCTGGCCGTATTGAAATCAGTGGGAATTTTGCTACTGGCTTTAATGGTCCCAGCATTTCACTCCCTAACTCTTCTTTCTTGAAGACCAAAAGGACTAGGAAAAAAGCTAATAGTACTTATAGAACAGGCTGACAAGTATTTCCATATCCTGCCCGTACACTGATTGTGCTCAGACTATAAAAACTCTTTCCGTAGAAGATGTACATTGCAAGACATTCCATGTTGATACATGTTCTTTTAGATGGTATGCAAGGTTCATTAGTGTTAGTGAATTACACAAATGCACCTAGAAGATGAGAATATATTTATCTCAGGTTGTGATCCAGCAAATCTTTATGCATGTAATTACGAAGGGCTTATTTGCATGCTTATATAACCACATGCATAAGCAATTACAAGCTTAGGACCTAACTTTGCAAGTGGCCCACTTATCTGGGGAAATATATCACTCAGTGTCAGTGATGGATTTTTTTCTTTCCCTGCTTCTTATGTAGCATCTCCTTTCCTGGAGGTTTGCAACCATGGTAGCCCATTTTGTACAATGATCTGCTAATCTCTTTGTGGATGAATAATCCCTTTGATCCCAACCAGGATACCACATCATTCATCCAAGATTTTTTTTGCCTTTTGTTTTTCTACTGTCAACTTGCCCTTCCACTGCCCACAGACCCAATGCAAGTTTTTAAGAGTTAGGAAGAGTCTTTAGTCTATTTAACTAATCAATCAAACAGATTCATTAAAGCAAAATCTGAGCATGTTGAGTAAAAATGCATTCAACAAGTAACCCAAATTAAATATTCTGTCAAATATTTTAATGAAATTAAAAATTCAACAGTTACGACGATTTATTTTTCAAATTTACTCAAGGTCTCAGTTGATGAACCTGTACAACTGGAAATATTATCATTACAATGTCAATCCTACTTCCATTCAAGTCCATGGCTCAAACCCAGTTCTGCCCCCACTAAGGACAGTGCAAGTAGAACCATTAATAGACTAGGACTCTGTCATAGGAGAGGAATAAATCCAGAAACAAAAAAGAAAAGCACAAGCTTTTATGTTTATTTATGGAGCAGTGAAAAGAATGAGTCCTCCTCCTCTCAGTCCTCAATTGGTAATGCTAGTGAGCTGCTAGGTCTCAACCTCTCTTTCTTACCTTGGCCAAAACCAATGTCATATTCTTAGAAATATTTATACTTTCAGGACATAATTTTAGAAGCTAGTATTTCAGGTTTAAGGAGCAAGCATTACTCTTAAGTTTTTCTTCAGAAAGCTGTGACTGAAGATACAAAATGATTGTTGATTAATAATTAATATCCTGCAACATCATCTTTTATCTGTCTTTTTGTGTCACTGCAAAGTCTTTAACTGAAGGAGTCAGCACTCTTAACAAACTCCTGTTTTCTTTCCATTTTGTATGTTTTTGTTAGTGGATTAGAGTTAGAGACGCATAAATAATTGATGTTTCAGTTTGCTGGCATATCTGAAAAATCTCAAAAAAATTGTTTTAGGTCAAGTGAAACACTTTCAATTTTGAACATTTAACAATGTTTAAAAATAAAATCAAAGGAAACTGAAACAAGGTCATTTTGAATAATATAATCTAAACATAATAAGCACTGGTCCAATATTTAAAGTCAAAGCAATTAAAAAAATTCAGAGGACATCAGATGGAGGAAAGAGGGTATTATTACAAACATAAGCCCTGATTCTGCAATCAGGATTGGATTCAGTGGGACTCTCTGCATGGACACAGGAGTTCACCTCCTTGAATTCAATTGCAGAATCAGGGAATTGGGCCCAATATTACAAACACTATTGGGTCTACTGGTTGACATGAATGGGATTTTCACTCACAGTTGCAAACACTACACCCAGCACATTTGCAGGATCAAACCCTTAAGAAATTACAGGTTCATAATATCAGAATAACTAATGCTACAGCAAACTAGACTGAGAATGATGATCAAAACCGAAGTCTCCTGGTAACTGTGAGATAAAAACATGCTTGCAAGACATGACAGTCTCATACAATGAACTGTCATCACTGCTTGTATTAAAACTTTAACTTACAGCAGTACTGGGATGGAAGAGGGGTATTTAATTTAATGTTGTTATCTTTCTGGAAGAATGTAAAGGAGTTTCATTGAAACAATTTCCAGCATAGGTTATGTTCTTAGAAAGACTGTCTACGCTATCATCTCCTGAGTTCCTCTAACTAGAAAGCCTTTCAGCTCCCTTTTCAGTATAAATTCTGAATTAAAATCCTCAGCATTTTAACTATGAAGTCAAATATTTTCAACAATTCTAAAAACTGTTTCAAAATGTGCTTCAAAATGCCAGTGGTTTGAATCACAAAAACTATAATCAAAATGACAAACATCACTTACTGACTATTTTTTTAAGTTTCAAGAGGCAAAATAAACAATCAAATTAATTTTAACTAATCCTGTTTTTCTATTATAATACCTATGCAATTTGAAATTGAATAATATAATGATAAACAAGAACAAACCACTGCTAAGAACCTGAAAGACCTCAAAGGGTAATTAGTGCTCATTAAAGGTATTCTCTCCTAGTCTAACATTAGTGAAACAGTGGTGTAGCTCTGCTTTGATTTAGAGTTTGGGGTAGTAAAGAAATTAATTGCTCACTTTCTAATGTTAGTAATACCAGAATTAAGAGTGGGCTTGGTTCTCATAAAGCTCCTTTCAGTCTCAGTTTTATTAGATGGTCTGGTTTTCAACAGCACAATGAGCAAGTATATAGCTCAAAGAGAAAAAAACAAGGAGGAGTCCTTGTGGCACCTTAGAGACTAACAAATTTATCTGGGCATAAGCTTTTGTGGGCTGAAACCTACTTCATCAGATGCATGGAGTGAAAAATACAGTAAGCAGTACATATATCACAGCACATGAAAAGATGGGAGTTGCTCAATGTGTGCTGCTAACCCTATATCACCTAGTGGCTACATTCCTCCTAAATCCACACCTTCTCCCCAGTTTACTTCACTATTCACCCAGCATTTTGACTATAATAACCTAAAAATAGCAAGTACTTTGTCATAAATATAATAAAAAATATATTGTAATAGGCTGACAGTGTTTGCCTGAAACAACCTAACATTAGCAGATGTTGATCCTGCTGGGAAAGAATTAGGTAGGTTTTTCTGACTTGGGCCCCAGTTCAGCAGAGCTTTTAAGCATATGCTTAAATCCATCCCTATTTGGTGGGACTTAATTATGGTTTGAGTACTTTGATGAATAGGATGGACTGCTGCCCAGTGAGGGAGATGAATAACTACCCCTCTTGGATAAAGGAGAGGTAAGAGTCTGGAGGAAGAGGGCCTCTGGCATAGGCAGAGCACTCCCAACAAATGGGCCACAGGAGCAGACAAGTCTGGGGAGCAGATCTGAGCTGAGTTTTGCTACCTTAATGTTGGTTTCTTTGTTATTAAAGCCAAACCCCAGGAATGAGTCTAGTTTGGACTCTAGATAACATCTGGATTGTACTGGTAGAGCAGGCTGGGAAAGCTGCCTACTTGCACATTAGTTTCAGTCCTAGGTTTTGATAGATTTATTCATTTTCTACATATTTTGTTCCAGATTCCCTGCCTCTGATGTATTATATTTCACATCTCATCCCCAAAGATTTCTTCATCCATCTGGTTTAATTTTGGGAGAGGACAGCAGAAACTTGTAGAACATGGAAGCAGAACTCTTTGTTTTGGCTGTTTTGAGGTGGAATCAGCAATGTGGGTTTTTGGGGGGACTGAGTTCCAAGTCTAATTAGTTTGCTGTGAATTTGCTTGTCTGCATTTTAAGTCTTTCTTTAGTAAAACTACATAATTCTCTAACTTTTAAAAAGGGGATGAAAATTCTATATTGGAATAACTGATTTATGCTGACGATGTCATTTCCCAATCCATTTGGACTACATTTAATTTGTGTATTGTATTTTATAATTTGGTTTCAACGTTATTGTAGTATTTTGCGAAAAAAATATTTAAAGGTTTGTTTTTTTGTTTTTTACAGCAACAGCTATCACACCCATACAATGCTGGCATCCTGCTGCTGAACACAAGGAAATTGGTGATATGGCTTGGAAAGAAACTGCATGTATACACTATTGTAGGTAATTTATCTGATCTTATGCCCCCTTCTGCTGGCTGTTCCA